CTTCTCAGATCTGGAAAAAATGGTGCTGAAATTCATATGGAGACACAGGAGACCTCAAATAGCTAAAGCAATCTTGTACAACAATAACAAAGCTGGAGGCATCACAATACCAGATTTCAGGACATACTACAGGGCAGTTATAATCAGACGAGATCGGGCACGTTCAGGGTGGTATGGCCATAGACAAAGGGCAGTTATAATCAAAACAGCATGGTACTGGTACAGAAACAGATGGATAGACCAATGGAACAGAATTGAAACACCAGAAATCAATCCAAACATCTACAGCCAACTCATATTTGATCATTGATCCAAAACCAATACCTGGAGCAGGACAATCTATTCAATAAATGATGCTGGGAAAACTGGATTTCCACGTGCAAAATCATGAAGCAAGACCCCTACCTTTCACCTTACACAAAACTTCACTCAACATGGATTAAAGACTTTAATCTACGACCTGACACCATCAAATTATTAGAGAGCATTGGAAAAACCCTGCAAGATATTGGCACAGACAAAGACTTCTTGGAAAACACCCCAGAAGCACAGGCAGTCAAAGCCAAAATTAACATTTGGGATTGCATCAAATTGAGAAGTTTCTGTAGTTCAAAAGAAACAGTCAGGAAAGTGAAGAGGCAACCAACAGAATGGGAAAATATATTTGCAAACTATGCAACAGATAAAGGGTTGATAACCAGAATCTACAAAGAGATCAAGAAACTCCACAACATCAAAACAAACAACCCACTTACGAGATGGGCCAAATACCAAAATAGATATTTTTCAAAAGAGGAAATCCAAATGGCCAACAGGCACATGAAAAAATGTTCAAGATCACTAGCAATCAGGGAAATGTAAATCAAAACCACAATGAGGTTCCACCTCACCCCAGTTAGAATGGCTCACATTCAGAAATCTACCAACAATAGATGCTGTAGAGGATGTGGGGAAAAAGGGACACTAACCCACTGTTGGTGGGAATGCAAATTGGTTAAGCCACTATGGAAGTCAGTCTGGAGATTCCTCAGAAACCTGAATATAACCCTACCATTCAACCCAGCCATCCCACTCCTTGGAATTTACCCAAAGGAAATGAAATTGGCAGTGATGTTAATTCTGATCTGTTAATTCAGATAATGTTAGCTTGATTTTTTAATTTTGAAATTGCCCGCCGGGGCTGGCGCTGTAGCACAACAGGTTAACTCACTGGCCTGAGGCGCCGGCATTCTATATAGGCCCTGGCTGCTCAACTTAATGATCTTGCTCTCTGCTATGGCCTGGGAAAGCAGTAGAAGATGGCCCAAGTCCTAGGGCTCTTGTTCCTCCATGGGAGACCTGGAAGAATCTTCTGGCTCTTGGCTTTGCATTTGCACAACTCCAGACATTACAGCCAATTGGGGAGTGAACCAGTGGTGGAAGACCTCTTTCTCTGCCTCTCCTTCTCTCTTTGCGTAACTATGACTTTCAAATAAATAAATAAATCTTTTTTTTTTTTTTTTTTGGACAGGCAGAGTTAGACAGTGAGAGAGAGAGACAGAGAGAAAGGTCTTCCTTCCGTTGGTCAACCCCCCAAAATGCCTGCTACAGCCGGTAAACCGCACCAATCCAAAGCCAGGAGCCAGGTGCTTCCTCCCGGTCTCCCATGCAGGTGCAGGGCCAAAGCACTTGGGCCATCCTCCACTGCACTCCCGGGCCACAACAGAGAGCTGGACTGGAAGAGGAGCAACCGGTACAGAGCCAGCGCCCCAATCGGGACTAGAACCCGGGGTGCCGGCGCCGCAGGCAGAGCATTAGCCTAGTGAGCCGTGGAGCCAGCCAGTAATTTTTTATATAATATAGATAAATAATATGCCAGGTAACACAGAAGGCTGCCAGCTTTAATTGGCTCTGCTTCACAACTTGGTTCCACAATTGGCCTAGGTTGACAAGGTACCTGTGGTGGGGGAAGAAGGTACAACATGGAGCTTGTACCAGTCCACTTGGGAAAATAACAGTGTAGACATCTGTTAATCTAGAACGATGGCATGCCATCCATGACAAAAATTCCAAGTCCTTTGATTGTGCTGATGGTCCCTGTGGGCAGGTCTGGAAAGGAGTGGTAGGTTTAGGCAGGTTGTCAAGAATGCAAGGATCTAATTGCATCTAATTAAGAACAAGGGTCTTAAAAAAAAAAAAAAAAAAACTATAAAAATTGAATAAAAGAGAATGCACACTCTGTGAGCTTTCTGAAGACTTCTTATATTTATCTTTGGTAAATCATGGATTGCTTGACACCCATTGGTTTTAGAGCATTAAACATTCTTCCAAAATTGATGTTTCCAGAATAAATATAAAAGAATCAGGTTGCAAATCACTCTGTCTCTGTCTCCCTTGCCCTGATATTTTCTATGTATTAAGAATATTAATTAAAATTTGTGGTAGATTCAGTATTTTATAGACTACTTAATATTTAAGCAATATTGTTTTAAAGAGGGTGTGGGACTAAAGCATTTCATTATTTAATTGCATTGACATAATCTTGAAAGATGGTGTGCTCATATGTGGCAGAAATACAAATTACTTTAAATAAAGTGAACCAGTGTTTCCAAGGACACTGACTGATGACTATTTCATGTTAAATGAAAAGCTAGAATGAACATTTTCTTTTATACATTCCAACACACAAACACATATGATGCATGGGAATAGTCAAAAATAACATAATGAATGTTAACAGTAGTTATATCTTAATAGCTTCACTTTCATTTGTTTATCCCTCAGGTTTTCTAAGACAATTTATATACTTTTCTGTAGGTAAAAGTTCTAAGATAGAATAATGATGTAGTTTTTGTGAGGCTTGTTTTCAGTAATTCAAATGAGACTATGCTCTTTCAAATTGCCAAATAAAATGACATTGAATCTAATTTCTGAGTTTGGGTTCCAAAAATAAGTAGTAGTTAGTAGAGTATCTCTGGAGTCTAAGTCCCCAGGGTCAGAGAGGTTACATCAGCCCTGTAATTAGTTCCTAGGAGTCAGAAGCAGCTTCAATCTCTCTCCCTCTTCCTTTCTGTGTCTTCCTCGCCCTCTCTTTCCCCATTTAGCCTTTCTTTCCCTGAATTTTCTGAATACTAATAAAGAAAGATATTATTGGATAATTAATTAAAATTTATTGTGGATTCCTGTTACGTTAACTCATTTCTTCAGTTTAGATAATACTTTAATCCTGAGTGGGAGTTTCCCTGGAGACTGTTACTAGACAAGAGGAGGGTCTTCAGGTGAGTTGGCTACAGCGTGGTGATGTAGCCTGTGTTATTTTTCACTCATAGAGGGACATTGGAGTCCAACAGTCTTTGAAAAGGGAATTCTCCATGAATCTCAATGCTGGATATATTGAATCTTCTCAAGAACTCAGGCTTCTAAGCTTTGATTTCTTCCTGCTTCTCTGGGGTATCAATCCTGATTTTTGCTTTTGTGAGATCTACTATGTGCTTGTTAATAGTACAAGCACACTGAAAATCTTTAAAGGATAATATAAAATCTGAGAATGTCCTTGGTATCTTAAGAGTCTCTTAGAAAAAAATTAAGTATAAATAGTAACAGTGAACGTTGTATATGACATTGTGACTTCTTAATATTAACATCTGTAGGGTGAGAATGCAGGAGACACTGCTGGAGTAAAAGCAAATGGTTCTTTGTGCTCATGGCTTTCATCTAGCATTTTACAGATTACAAATGCTGGATCAGTAGACTAGAAAAGTAAGACATTTGAAGTGAAAGTAAAGAAAAAATAAACAAGCTAAGGCACAAATGGATTCTGACAATATCAGTATTATTAAAGAAAATAAAATATGTGAGAATATCTCAGGTAAGAATTTAGATAGAGGGCCGGCACTGTGGAGCAGTAGGTTAATCCTCCTCCTGCGGAGCCGGCATCCCATATGGGTGCCGGTTCTGGTCCCTGTTGCTCCTCTTCCAATACAGCTCTCTGCTATGGCCCGGGAAAGCAGTGGAGGAGAGCCCAAGCCCTGGGGCCCCTGCGCCCATGTGGGAGACTGGGAAGAGGCTCCTGGCTCCTGGCTTTGGATCAGCACAGATCCAGCCGTTGCAGCCATTTGGGGAGTGAACCAGCAGACAGAAGACCTTTCTCTCTGTCTCTCCCTCTCACTATCTGTAACTCTACCTCTCAAATAAATAAGTAAATAAATAATTTAGATAGAACAAGCAGAGAGTTTAGATTGATAGATTAGGTAAAAGAAATCGAGGTTTTCAAAGTCATGGATGGTTTGCCATAGTACCCACAGGAACTTAGAGATGAATTGTTGATGCCACAGAGCAGAGTAGAGCACAGTAGTGTATGCTGGGCAGGTGGCTGTAATGCATGATTGCAGTTCAGTAAATCTCCCCAGGAACAAACCTGATAGGAGAAATAAAGGACCAGAAAGAGGTTATCATGATGAAAAAGGGGAGGAAAGCATAGCGAATTCGTAGAAGGACAGTTATTAATGCATTCGGACTGGGGCAGGACGGTATGAGGAGTTTCACCTGAAGCAAACATTGAAGACCTACACTGTATCCACTATATCCACATGTGCTCTGCTGCCCATGGTGGCCCTTGATTGAATTCTCAGATTTTTCAATGATACAATGGTTTGAAAATAATACTACTTAGTGACAGAACTCATGTCAAGATTCTAAAAAAAAAAAAAAAAAGCATGTGTTCTACAACAGTGTAGAAGAGTTTTCTATTTACCATCCAGAAAGCTATTTCATGCAACTTCTGCCACTCATGATCAATTTCTAGTTCCCACTAACTGCTAATACAGAGTCTAACTACAAATAAGCTTCTTAACTTATATATACCTCCACTTACTTATATGTATCTAAAAATATGAGGCTGCTTGTGTGACAATGCATGATGTATGTTTTAGCACATGCTTGAAAAAGAGTAAATATTATGCTTGACAGATCATTATCCTTCTTATTTGCATCATTATTTCAGATTCTCTCTAGCAACAATCATGTTGCTAGCTGAAGGAAATCAGACTTCTGCAGTCACCTTCACCCTCTTGGGCTTCTCAGAATATCCGGACCTCCAGGTGCCCCTGTTCCTGGTATTCCTGACCATCTACACAGTCACCGTGCTGGGGAATCTGAGCATGATTCTGATCATCAGAATCAACCCCAAACTCAAAACTCCCATGTACTTTTTTCTCAGCCACTTGTCCTTTATTGATTTCTGTTATTCCACCACAGTCACACCCAAACTGTTGGAGAACTTGGTTCTGGAAGACAGAACCATCTCCTTTACAGGATGCATCATGCAATTTTTCTTTGCTTGCTTATTTGCAGTGACAGAAGCATTCATGTTGACCATGATGGCTTATGATAGATACGTAGCAGTTTGTAAACCTCTGCTTACACAGTCATCATGTCCCCAAAGCTCTGTGCTTTGTTGGTGGCTGGGCCCTACACATGGGGTATAGTCTGTTCCCTGATACCCACTTATTTTCTTTTGAAATTATCCTTCTGTGGGTCTAGCATCATCAATAATTTTCTCTGTGAGTATTCTGCCATCGTCTCTGTCTCCTGCTCTGATCCCTACATCGGCCAAATGTTCTCTTCTGTCATCGCCATAGTCAATGAGGTGAGCTCCTTGGTAATCATTCTCGCTACTTATTCTTTCATCTTTGTCAATCTCATAAAAATGCAGTCTGCTGGCAGGAAGCAAAAAGCTTTCTCTACCTGTGCCTCCCACCTGACTTCCATCACAATTTTCCATGGGACTATCATGTTCCTTTATTGTGTACCCAACTCCAAACATTCATGGCTGATGATCAAACTAGGTTCTGTGTTTTATATAGTCGTCATCCCCATGCTGAATCCTTTAATCTATAGCCTAAGGAATAAAGATGTAAAAGACAGTTTTAGGAAGTTAGTGAATCATGCAACATCATTGTATTGAATATTTCTATTTCTGAAAGAAATTCAAATGATTATGTCATGAATTGTTCAGTATTTCTAGTAAAGATGATGATTTGAATTATTTAGTCCACTACAGAGGAATTGAAATCTCTTGTCATAAATATTTTATTTGACCATTTTATTTCTATTCTTGTCACTGTTTAGAACAATAGTTGCAAATATGTGAAATAAAACATGTGCTATGTGTTGAATAATGTTCCCCAAACTTTGCCTGTCGCCCAGAACTGCAGAAGTGACCTTACGTGGAAATAGTATACAGAAGTAATTAGGTAACGTGAGTTGAAATCACAGTGAAATTGGACAAAGCAGACACTCAGGGAAGAAGAGCTTGTGAAAATGGAAGTAGATTGACACTTTCTTGCTTTTGGCCAGGAGTGGATGAAGGTTTCTCTCTTACCAAATTCAGGTAGAAGACAGTCACTGCTAGTACTATGAGTAAATTCTGATCTTGAGAATTTCAAGAACATACATAAACCTTGTTTTTGCCAAATTTGTGTCAGTATGCTGCAGTAGCCCCAGGAAATCCATTTACCAAATCAACATCAGACCACAGAACATAAATTGCTACACTTATGTATCAACTTTGTATTTTTCAACACATTCTTCAACTCCACTTTCACAATGAGAGTCAACATACAGAAGAAATGAGCCTCTCCTGAATAGGAGTGTGCAAATGGAAGGAATCACAGTGGGAAGTGAGAAACACTGTTAGTAAGATTCTACCGGTTTCTTCATTCCTTTTCAGTAAAAGACTCCTGTACTTTTATTGTGGAACAGGAAACAATGTTAAATGTGATGACTAAGTATCATGTAATATGTTGATTTTATGTGAAGTTCTTGTAAGATTATCAAGAAAATAAAAAATAATTCAGTTATTAATCTCATGATTTCTAACTAATATCTCACACTTGATTGTACAAATCCTACTGACACAGTGAATATCATAATAAATTTCAGAAATAGTTATATAATCATTGCTTTATTTATAAGATTAATCTTTTGGGCCGGCACCGTGGCTCACTTGGTTAATCCACCTGCAGCGCAGGCATCCCATATGGGCGCTGGGTTCTAGTCCCTGTGGCCCAAGAGGGCAGTGGAGGAGGGCCCAGGTTCTTGGCTCCTGCATCTGCAAGGAAGACCAGGAAGAAGCACCTGGCTCCTTTCTTCAGATCAGTGCAGTGCCAGCCGTGGCAGCATTTGGGGTGATGAATCAACAGAAGGAAGACCTTTCTCTCTCTCTCTCTCTCTCTCTCTCTCTCTCTGTCTAATTCTGTCAGATAAATAAATAAGAAAAGATTAATCTTTTGCTGATTACATATTTTATCTGCATGAAATAATTCTGTTTATTAAACAAAAATCACACATTTGTAACTTTTTTTTTTTTTTGACAGGCAGAGTGGACAGTGAGAGAGAGAGACAGAAAGAGAAAGGTCTTCCTTTTGCCGTTGGTTCACCCTCCAATGGCCGCCGCGGCCGGAGCGCTGTGGTCGGCGCACCGCGCTGATCCGAAGGCAGGAGCCAGGTGCTTTTCCTGGTCTCCCATGGGGTGCAGGGCCCAAGCACTTGGGCCATCCTCCACTGCACTCCCGGGCCACAGCAGAGAGCTGGCCTGGAAGAGGGGCAACCGGGACAGAATCCGGCGCCCCGACCGGGACTAGAACCCGGTGTGCCGGCACCACAAGGCGGAGGATTAGCCTAGTGAGCCGCGGCGCCGGCTTGTAACTGTTTTGACTCAAATGTTCTCTAAATCGATTACTCAGTATTGTGTGTCCAATATAGCTATTAATACACCACTTTGGAGGGCCTGGGCTCCTTGAAATGACTGAGTTCAAGTCATACTTTGGCTCTAGATTCCAGCCTTCTGCTAATTCAAATTCTGTGAGACAGAAAATGCTGACTCAGTTAAGTCTCTGCCACTCACATGGGAGACCTGAAATGAGTTCTTGGCTCCTGGCTCCAGACTGACTCAGCTCAGGCCTTTTTGGGCATTTGGGGAGTGAACTTGTGGATTGGAGTTACTAAGACCATTTTAAATCATAACTTTTTACCTTTCTTCCACTGGCAATAAGTTGATTTTAATGTTAAATTTTAGTTATGATACACATAACAGCAAGCACAATATTATAGCTTTTTATTTCAGAATAATTATAACTTTACCAATAAAAAATGGTGACTACTTCAAAGATTTTCCATATGCCCCCTATTTAGCTTTTCTTATTATTTTTATATCAGCATACTGCATTTGTCACAATATTGGCTAAAAAGTAGGAGAATTACACTGTTTTTAAAAAGTTGATCTACTAGGGGTGGCATTGTAGCATAAAGAGTTCAGTTGCTTCCTGCAATATTGGAATTCTATATTGGCATCTATTTGAATCCTTACTGCTCCATTTCTGATCCAGCCCCCTGCTAATTCTCCTGGTAGAACAGCAGGGGATGGCCAAGTCCTTGGGCTTCTGCTCCTATGTAGAAGACACAGATAAAGTTCCCAGTTCCTGACCCAGCCCCTGCCCTTGTGGTCATTTGGGGAGCGAACCAGCAGATGGAATTTCTCTCTCTCTCTCTCTCTCTGCCTCTTCCTCTCCCTCTCTATAACTCTGCCTTTCAAATAAATAAAATGTCATTAAAAAGATTATGTATTTAAATTTGAGAAATTAAGTTTTCATGACTCTCATGAAATAATTTATTTATGATTTGTTTAAATTCCTATGAAGTTCCTGCAAGATGTGACAGGAGGAGACTAATATGATGGGACTGAAAGACAGGACACACAGGCAAGCATGGCCTTGTAGTATGCTTTGATAAACTTGGGCTTTTGGCCGGTGCCGGCTCACTATGATAATCCTCCGCCTTGCGGCACTGGCACACCAGGTTCTAGTCCCGGTCGGGGTGCCGGATTCTGTCCCGGTTGCCCCTCTTCCAGGCCAGCTCTCTGCTGTGGCCAGAGAGTGCAGTGGAGGATGGCCCAAGTGCTTGGGCCCTGCACCCCATGGGAGACCAGGAGAAGCACCTGGCTCCTGCCATCGGATCAGCGCAGTGCGCCGGCCACAGCACGCCAGCCGCGGCGGCCATTGGAGGGTGAACCAACGGCAAAGGAAGACCTTTCTCTCTGTCTCTCTCTCTCACTGTCCACTCTGCCTGTAAAAAAAAAAAAAAAAAAAAAAAAAAAAAAAAAAAAAAAACACCTTGGGCTTTTGTTTTTAGTGAAGTATAGAAATCCTAGAGACCATTAGGAGGGTTATATGATCTAATTAAAATTTTACATCTTGACTGCCATTCCCAATGAAACCCCTTTTCAGCATGAAGCAGCCACACTGACCATCGTCCAGTCCCCCTAACAGAGGTTAGGGTCCATTCTTGTTGAGCAGGTGGAATTTGAGGAGTCATGGTTTAACAGGCAGTCTGGAAATTAAGGGTGGAAAATGTTAACCCAGAAGTTTCCTTAGCAAGGTCAGAAGTGCCTGCCTACCCACTCCTTGGGAGCTTCCAAATTTACCATGAGAATAGCAGGGAGTGTTCACTCCATCCTCCTGAGCTCACAGTTTATTGTGAAAACAAGTTACCTTTCCCACAATTCTGGATTATTTTGTTTTGTTTTGTTTTATCGTGAGCAAGTTAGATAGGATAGAAGATTGTAAATCAGGTCTTTTGATGGGTTTTTGTCCCTGCCTTGTAATTGGATGTCAATCAAAATTGTGCTGGAGGCCAGCACTGCAGCTCATTAGGCTAATCTTTCGCCTGCGGTGCTGGTACTCCGGGTTCTAGTCCTGGTTGGGGCGCTGGTTCTGTCCTGGTTGCTCCTCTTGCAGTCCAGCTCTCTGCTGTGGCCTGGGAAGGCAGTGGAGGATGGCCCAGGTCCTTGGGCCCTGCACCCACATCGGAGACCAGGAGGAGGCACCTGGCTCCTGGCTTTGGATTGGCGCAGTGTGCCAGCTGTAGCAGCCATTTGTGGGGTGAACCAATGGAAGGAAGAACTTTCTCTCTCTCTCTCTCTCTCTCTCTCTCTCTCACTGTCTAACTCTGCCTGTCAAAAAATAAATTGTGCTGGATACTCAGCTTCTCTGTGGATTACCTATTATGGATCCAACACGTTCAATAAATTTCATGAGAACATTCTGCTGGATATTGTTTACTATATCCAGGTATTTCTTTTTCACTTTAGCTAATCTATTGATTTAGGAAATCTTATAGTCATCACTCCATGAATTTCATTTTTTAAAAATTTTTTACAGGCAGAGTGGACAGTGAGAGAGAGAGACAGAGAGAAAGGTCTTCTTTTGCCGTTGGTTCACCCTCCAATGGCCGCTGCGGCCAGCTCACCGTGCTGATCCAAAGCCAGAAGCTAGGTGCTTCTCCTGGTCTTCCATGTGGGTGCAGGGCCCAAGCACTTGGGCCATCCTCCACTGCACTCCCAGGCCACAGCAGAGAGCTGGCCTGGAAGAGGGGCAACCGGGACAGAATCCGGTGCCCCGACCGGGACTAGAACCCGGTGTGCCAGCGCCACAGGCGGAGGATTAGCCTATTGAGCCGCAGCACCGGCCCACTCCATGAATTTCATTTTCCACTTTGTCTTTAGCCACACATTCTACCACTGAACATCTCAGTCATTCCCACCTTGCTATCACCCTTTAACTCCAAAAGCACATGGTGAATGTGACTACAGGATTCATGATGCACATGGGACTAACCTGTCTGCTAACAGGCTTAAAACATGAGGTATGAAAATCTTAGAAACTTTATGGAAAGGTAGCAGACTCCAGAGTATTTCAGTATTCAATGTGCCTTTACTAAACCTATTTCTGTGGGATTGTTCATATTTACTTTAAAATATTACTTTCACGTGGAATCCTTCCCTGAATGTAAGATAGTCATCCCTTACCCTCTTAATGTGATTTATGTTTTATTCTCACAGGCTTAGAAGATATTTTTAATACAGGGGATGATGAAATTATTTGTTATGTATTTCTTCTAATAGGATAT